ACACAGTTCAGAGGCCATGTCCTGGAGAGCAGCTGGGCTCTTCTGCCCATGAAAGAGTATAGAAAGCCAAGACCTGCAGGGCCAGGAGGCCTGGGAATGAATTCTGGCTCTGCTGCTCACTAACGTGTGGCCAAGAAAGTCGACTCACCTTCCTAGTGTTTCCTGATGAAGTGAGGCCCAAAGGTTTTGGGCACAATTCTGCCAGGCATTCCCGCTCTCAGAGTATGGGTCCAACCCAACCTAACTGACCACCTTTTTCACCCCACTTCGCTCAGTTCCCAAGTTCTCAGGGCTCCTCCATCTGGATTAATAGCCTGACCATCCTGTAGCCCAACTCTCTGCTATGAAGGCTCCCTGGCTGCTCCCTCCCCTTCCTCCTCTGGAGTCCTACTCTCCATATCTAGCCTTGTCTTTCTATGTCTCTCTGTCTCCTGAACAAGCTATAAACTTGGGGGCAGAGACCATGGATTATACTGAGTAGCCTCAGCAGCAAGGATGAGCTGGGGAGGGTGTCAGAAGACAGAGGATCATCCATGCAGTTAAGGGACATAGAGTAAAGTGGCCTACCGCTCCCCAAGGGTAAAGCTCCCTCCCCCAGGTCAGGTCTGTACCCTTTTCCCCAGAGGCCAGCCGTGGGCTAAAAGAAAAAGACACCTTCTCTCAGGGGATGGTTTTTACCTTTGCAATCTGAGGGATGCTGGGCAACTTGCTTAGTCCAGCCAAGGGGATCCGCTCATGCACTGTTTTCACCTTGGACCTGAAAAAAGAGAAAAGAGTAACCACAAGAAATGAAGTCAGCGAGGAAGGTGTCTGAGATTACACCAGACCACAAGGCAGGGACACTGGCCTCATGTCTCCCCAGGATCAGATCTGCCTCATTTCATCCAACCCATGCATTGGGCACCACACTCAAATGGGAGGAAAATGAAATTCTACCTAGTTAGGTACATCATGGGAGGTGGATACTTAAATAACTTGCCTGGTAAAGCTGCCCAAAACCAAAATATGGGAGAAGCAAATAGTCAACTTCAAGTTCAACAATATTTTTTCCTTTGTGGGGGTTTTTTGTGTTCTCCCAAAGAATTGGGCACAGATTCTGGACACATTTGGGTTCTCACATACAACTAAACCTTTTTGAAAAGAAAATCTAATATTTGAAAACCTGGGTTTACTCAAAATATAAATGGGATGAAAGCTGCTTTATAAAGGGATTCATCATAAGACTCTAAATTTAGCCTGTTCCCTTGATTCATCTAGCACATTATGGAAGTGTTGAATTTTACTGAATGCTTTTCTGCATCTGCTGAGACAATCATAGGGCTTTTAATCTGTTAACCTGGTGGATTACATTTCTGTTGAGCCATCTTTTCATTCCATGGGTAAAAATCCATGTGTTTATGTATTATTTTTTCATAGCCTGCTGAATTTTTTAATATTTTATTTAGAGTTTCACATCTATGTTCAATAGCAACACTGGTCTTTTTTTTTTTTTCTTATACATCCCTTGTCAGGTTTCCATATCAGGGTATTATTCTTAGCCTCAAAAAAACTGCTGGGGAGCTTCTCGTCCTTTGAACTAGTTTGTATGTATACTGTAGGGATTTTCTGTTCCTTAAAGGTTTGGTAAAATTTACCCAGTGAAACCTCTAGGCCTAGGAGGACACCTTTGGCTACCAATTCAGTTCTTTAATGATAAATGTTTAGGTTTTCTATTCCTTATTGAGTCCATTTTGGTAATTTGTATTTCTCTGTAAAATTATCCACCAAATGCATTGATATAAAGTTGTTTTTGGTATTGTCTTAGGACTTCATCTCTATCTGTAGTTGTGTTCCTGCCTTCATTGCTATAATACTATCTGTATCTTTTCTCTGTTTTCCTTAATCAACCCTTGCTGGGGGCTTATCTAGTAATCTTTTCAAGATATAGCATTTGGTTTTGATTGTCTCTTCCTTATTTTGCTTTCTACTTCATTAACTCATTCTTATCCTTTTAATTTCTTCCTTCTATTTTAAGTTTTTTCTACTATTCTTTTTCCAACTTCCTGACTTGCATGTTTACACATTTAAGCTTTCTTCTTTTTTACTCATGCATTTAAAACTACATATCTTTTTCTAAGTACCACTTCACTGCATCCCATACATTGATAGGTTGTATTTTCATTGTCATTTAGTTCGAAATATTTTGTCAGTTCTTTTTTGAGTTCTTTAGCCCATGAGTTATTTAAAAGGATTTTTTCTAACTTTCCAAATATATGGGGTTTTTTCCTTCAGTATTTTAATTGTTGATTTCTAATTTAATTTTTTTATATTCAGGAAACATCTGTACGATATCAAGAATTTGAAATTTATTGACTTAATGCAAGAACTTTTTTCATGTTTAATGTGGACTTTAAAGATATATGTTTTTCTTTTGTTGAGTTCAGGAAAGCACGTTATGAGATCAATTTTGTTAATTTTATTGTTCAAATCTTCTACATCCTCACAATTTTTTGTCTGCTTGGTTCAACAGTATGTGAAAGATGTTTTTAAAATTTCCCATTATAATCAAGGATTTGTCTACTTCTCTTTATATTCCTATCAGTTTTTGCCTTTTTAAATCTAAGACTATGTTATTAAGTACAAGATTGCAAGTTCATGACTGCTAGATCTTCTGGGCGTACTGTTCTCTTTACTGTTATGTAGGCTGAGGCCCCTGAGGGGTCTAGTAAAGGGCATCTTTCCCTGCCCAGGTTATGAACAAATTCAGAAACAAATCAGAAATTAAGAGTAAGGCAGTTGGAAGTCAAAATAACTCCTTTGTTACTGAAGCAGGCCAAGAGGAAGCACACAGCTTAGCCTGAAGATGAAATGAATGTTTTAGCTAAACCCCAGATGACCCACCCAGTCACAGGTAGTGTTGGGCAGGGGCAAGCCCCCTCTTGTGAGTCTGCTCAGGTGGGACTTTTAGTACAGGAACAAAAAGAAGCCCTGATGACAGCATGGTCCAATAAAGAGAAAAAGGGAAGGAACACAGCTACACATGTCAAGTTCTTGCTCCCAAATTTACCTATCAGAGATGGCAGAGAGCCAGGGGTGTTACACAGAAATGTTCCCTCCACCTGGCAGAAAAGAGGAATAGGAAGAAATGTTCCCAATTTATAAAGGTGTGCTCCCTTTATCTCTGTTAATGCTTTTTTCCTGAAATTCTATTTTATCTAATATTAATATTGCTATGCCAGCTTTCTTGGTTAGCATTTTCCCACCATCTCTTTTTTCATTTCTTTATTTTAAATCTTTCTAAATCATTTTTCTTTAGGTATGTCTTTTATAAGCAGAATATAGCTGTATTTTTTAGTCCAGTCAGATAGTCTGATATTTTCATAGGCTACTTTAATCTATACTTATTATGATTACTAATGCATTGATTACTAATATATTTGGAACTTATTTCTATCATTTGGTGTTTTCTATTACCCTGTGTATTTTCTCTTTTTTTCTTCTTTCCTGCCTTCAGTTTAATAAAGTTTTTTAAAATACTCTTTTTATCCTTCTGCTAGTTGAAGAGCTGTAGTGTGTGTTTCTATAACTTCTAATACACATACTTATCTATTTTTCCAACAAACTCTAAACTACTTGATATCTCTCTCCTGAGGAGGGAAAGGTAAACAATAACTACTGAACTCTTCTTTTTTCACTGTCCTTCCTACTTTTGTTTATAAATTTAGCTCAAGTCTCCTTTTAAATACACAAAAACTTCTTTTTCTCAGTCAGTAATAAATTTATCAACATAGTTTATCTATCTCTTGCCACTTTTTAATTGTATCATTTCTTTTGATTTTTCTTTTCTTCTAGCTGAAGTACATCATTTAGTAATTCTTTCAGAGAGTCTGTGAGTGGTATACTCCCATTTTTTTAAGTCTGAAAACAATTTTATTTTGCCTTTGTGAATAGTTTTTCCGGGTGTCGACTTTTAGGTTAAAAAGGTCCTTTCTTTCTTCTTTCTTCCTTTCAGCATTTTAAAGATATTCCTACTGTCCCATGGCTGATAAGAAATTTGCTCTGAGCCTTGTTGGCATTACTTCCTAGATAATGTCTTTATCCTTAGATAAATTTAAATTTTTCTCTTCATCCTTGATGTTCTAATGTTTCACTTCAATGTGTCTAGAAGTATTGTTTTGTTTTAATATCTTGCTCAGCACCATAGTGTGTGCTTTCTTTCTTCAATTCTGAAATATTCTCAGCCATTATCTCTTTGGATATTTCCTCTCCACTGGCTTCTCTATTCTTTCCTTCTGAAACTCTTTTAAGGCAAATGCTGGGGCCTCTCAGTCTATTTTCCACATATCTTCTTTTTCACATACTTCATCACTATATCTATGCTGTGTTCTGGATAAATTCCTAGAAACTATCTTTCAATTCACAGATTCACTTTGACTCTGAACAGATTATGTTAGAGTAGATTTTATCCTGTGTATTGAGTTTCTTTTTATTTCAACAATTATTTTTTTATTTTTGAAAATTTCAATTGTTTTCTTTTATACCTATGTATATCCATTCTTGATTCATGTCCATTCATTCATTGTATGATAATTCCTTATCCTTCTTATAGATGCTATTCATTCTTTATTTTTTGAGGATCTTAAATATATTTAAGTCATTCTGAAAGTGTACCATTATTTGCATTTCATCAGAAGTAAATCCATCTCTCATTTGTTGATGTTTTTGGCTGTCCTTCTTAATGTCAGTTTTCCCTGGGTATTTTAAATTTTTCCACCCATTTTTCTCAATCCTCAGTACAAGGCACCTGGGTTCCAGTTCCCATCAAGGCTATTGGTTAGCATAGCTCTGGGGGCACCATTCACATTATACAAACTGATAGCCTATATAATCATCAGTAATAATCACCTGACTCATCAGAGCAGCCTCTTGATTTGTCTTCCTGTTGCTGGCTTTGCCTTCCCTCCAAGCCATTCCCCTTACTCTAGCCAGTGACCTTCTACACTGCAAATCTTTTCACAATACTCTACTTTCAGGAGCTCTCCTATTGCTCATAGGATAAAATCTAAGTTCCTAGAAACAGGCCATACAGAATTTAGCTTTTCCTTACCTTTCCAGAACCTTACACACACCACACCACACCACACCCGTACACACTCAGACACTCACCCCACATTCAAGCTTTTTTGAACTGCTTTCGGTTCTCCCATACCAACTATCTTTGGATCACCTTCACTAGCCTATAATAATTCATGTCCACAGAAGATGAGTAAGAATAAGGAATGAGAATATCTAACATGTATGGAATGCTTACTATAGCCAGGTAACAAGAGCTTTTTCCTCACGTTATCCCTATCCCTACAGAAAGTCTGCCATATATTAAGTCTTGGTGAAAAAACACTGAATGAATAAATGAATTGATAAAATCAACCATTTTTGCATTCCTAAAGTAACTCTTTCTTGGCTATAGTGAATTATTCAATTAATAGACTGCTTAGATTTGAGTCTCTGGAACTGGCATTTTTTTTTTAGACTCTTTACTTCTACTTTCATAAGGAATACTGGTCCCTATTTTTCTTTCTTTTTTCATCATTGGTCTGATATTTTTCATGAGACTCTTTTAAGCATTGTTAAATTAATTGGGAAACTTTCCATATTTTTTTCTCTTGAACAGTTTAAACAGAATGAAATCTTTTCCTTACGAGCTCAAAATAACTACCTGTAAAGCATCTAGATCTAGAAACTTTTGGAGAGATAATTCTTTGAAAACTTTTTCAATTT